TGTGTGAGCACTATCACAGATTGAAGAAAGAGAAGAAGAAGATATTTAAGCACAGAGAGACAGATTGTAAGATATATTATAATACCTTGAAGAGACTCTGTAAGAAAGTAGAATAATAATAATTTTAAGTAATACTTCTGATAGATTTAGACTGAACTAAGTATAGAAATAATGTGAATAATACTGTCTGTGAGAGATTAAAAAAGAAGACAGTGAAGAGTCTCATACAGCAGCAGTAAGATCAGAAGAAGTCTCAAGAATGATTTAAGATCAAGATAAAGAGAGAGAGAGAGAAGAAGAGTATTACTGTAAATAAGCAGTAGTAGAAGAAGATTGAGAAGATATTAAAATAAGAGATAAAGAAGTCAAAACTGATAAATTTTTTATTAAAAGAAAATAATTTTTAATAACACTTCTGTTCTTTAATGGATTAGCAGGAGCTGATAGAGAAGAAGAGAATTAAGGCCTTGTTCAGGTCTCAAATGCACTCTATGATTCAGAACATTAAGAAGACAGCTCTGCTCTCTGAGTATGTCAATCTGCTTACTACTGAGATGAAACCTGAGACAGCAGATCAGAAAATGCAGGATTTTAAGACATAGATTAATCTGACTGAGAGAGAGCAGTAGAAACCCTTCTCTGAGAAGACAGTAGAGAGAGATTTTAAGATAATTATCATCTCAGATGAGAAGAAGAAGAAGAAGAAGAAGAAGAAGAAGAAGAAGAATGAGAAGTAAATTGTAAAGAATAATAAGAAGAATGAGAAAGAGAAGAAATAGATTTTTTTCTTTTTATATTAGTTAGTTATAAGTTTAAGTTTTTAATTATTAATAATTAAAATTGATTTTAAGTTTTCAAAAATTATTGTACAAGTTGTAATCAAGTCAGAAATAATATATATATATATATATATTTAACTATCATGATTCACAAATCACTATAATATATAAGTATCAATATTTTTTCAACATTGATATTTACAATATTAATATATTTTTAATAATATTATCTGATAATATAATTTAATAACACTCTCTTTCACAATATTAATATATTTCAAGAAATATAATAGAGATTAATCAAGATTATTTATTTACTTTTATATATTAATAATATTCAATCTGAGTTAGTACTAAAATTATAACTAAGCTAAGAAATAAGATTATTTTCTCTTATATTAATTCTTCTTACATATATCAGTGATCAGTTATTGAAAATAAATTATTATCTTTCTCAAATTATTATTATATCTTCTGAATTCACTTCTTTCACTTCTTTTACTTCTATTGAAGATTTATAAACTCTTTAAGAAATTACTGTGAATTACAAAGTCTATATTATTTATAATTCAACACAGAATGCTCTCTTTTAATTATAATAAATAACTACTTTATTCTTCACATCTGATTTCAGGTCATAAAATTTATGAAAAACTCAACACAAATATCAAGATAAACTATGAAATAATTATCAATAAATTGTATTACAGATTACTGAAGAGTTATCTCTTTACTGCAATTACTATAACTTTATTCAGAAACATTCATTATAAACTGATTATAACTCTGAAGAAATTTCCTGATATCTGAAGTTATTAGAATACAGATAATAAAAGAAAAATAATTAGAAAATTACTACTAAGCTGATAAGTTACTCTACTAGATAATAATTTTTAATAACACTAACTTTCTAATTTGAAGAAAATTATGTAAAAACAATCTCATATCAGTACTCTGATTTCATAACTCTTATCTGATAACTTTTATGAATAATTACTTTATATGTATATATCTCTGAATCTTTCTCTTTAATTAATTAAAAACTCTGAATTCTGAACACTTCTTCAAATGTTTAATTCAAATCTTTATATTCTATATCAATTCTGTCTTCAGTTCAATCTTAAGACATACTACAAAGTTAATATATAATATCTAGAATCAGAGTTGAAGAATCATCAAAGAGTATCTCTCACAGTGAATGCATGAACTAGTATAAACAATCTTATATTTATGAGAGTTACATGTTATTACATTGATGAGAACTGAACTTATTAAAAGACATTAATTGAATTTAAATCATTGATTAGTAGTTATACTGAGAATTATATAACAGAGATATTAATAACTGTGATTAAAAATAACTATTAAGATATTAGTCTCAGTCTTCTTATAATTATAACTGATAATGCTGCAAATAACTATACTATGATGAAGAGCTTGAAGCAAAAATTGACTTTGTATTTTTAAAATAACAAACAAGGTCATATTCTCTGCATTGCTCATGTGATTTAACTTGTAATATAAACACTGATAAAGAATCTTAACATCAATCAAGATAAAGAATAATGAGATAACTGATTCTTGAGATGAGAATGAGATGAAAGTAATTACTCAAGTAACTTTTATATTCACTTTATAAAAGATAATATTTTTTATATACTTTTTAATATTGCTTTTTAATAACACTTTTGATAATGCTACTG